ATGTGTTTGTGGTGGATCAATCTATTGTCCAAACAACAAATAACAACAAATATAACCAAAGTCCTAAAGTATTTTCAATGATAGCCCCCCTCCATCCCTTTCCTCTCAAGAACACAATCCTGCCACTGCTTCTTAACCCGAGTTTTAGTACTGTCCTTAGCATAGTCAAGAACATGAGGGTGTGCAGGGATTGCCATTCTCTGATAAAAGTGTAACACCCCGACCCGCGCAACCCGAATACAAGGACTAGCGGATCGGGTTGTCACTAAATTGGTATTCAGACACAATAATTTCCAAAACAATTCAAAAACATTTAAACCAAAACAATATTTAAAACATCCATTGGAGTTAACAAAACGGTGCGGAAGCTAAAAGTACTTAATCAAAATACAACTTTGGGTTCTTGCTCTTAAAATATTAATTAATTCAAACTTAAATATTAAATAATAAACTCCTCCAGATAGCATCCATCCATCTTCATTTCCCTCGCTACCCTCGAGGATAGTTCCTTATTCATCATTCACGTTACCTACGTGTAGCAAATAGGAAAAAGGGCTACACGCTCAACATTGAAGCTAAGTGAGAACTATCTAACGTTTCGACTACACACATAGACGAACCCACTAGCTCATAATCCCATACAATATCATGCACACAAGTACAACATCAATAGCATCATTAATATCATATAATTCATCAATCAAACATAATTACCATAATCAACAAACTTATCTCATAATCCACTTCTTTATCTCTAGGCTCATAACCTATTCTAGGCTAAGGCCAACTACTTTATTCTAGAGTCCTGATCCAACCACATCCATGGAAGAACCCGCTCGATACGACGTCATCCAACGTCGGCTGGGAGGGACCTATCCGTATTCAAATTCCTTATTTTGTTTCCTCGGTCTACCTATAATTCAGCTAGGTAGCCTATCCGTATTCAAATTCATAATTCCATATTTTCAAATTCATACGAGATTACAACAAGTTAAATGGCAACCACATTCATCAATTAGCGGCCTAGTCTCGGGTGTAAACACCCTCTACTTACCGTCATGCAACATACAAGATCATGGCATAAATTCGGGATTCAAATCAAAACAAAAAAACAGCGAATCGGGCGGCTGGGGGTGGACACGGTACCCTTCACGGTACCCTGGTAGTGCTGGGCGGTACCTAGATACCGACGGTCCGGTACCCCCGACCGTCTAACTACAGTTACCGACAGAGGAGAACTTGGTTGGGGTGGTATCTGGGTCTGACACGGTACCTTGGTACCGTCGGTCCGGCACCTTGGTACCGTCTGGCCGGTACCCCCTACCGTGCGAGCGCAGGTATCGACAAAGCCATATTACGGAGGGGTCTATGGCGGTAGCAGGGTACCGTGAGGCGGTAGCAGGGTACCGTGAGGCGGTACCTAGCTACCGTCTAACGTCGGAAAGCTACAGAAACAGCGTAATTCAATTCTATTCAACACCATTCCATTTAGATAACGTTTCTAAAGGTTTTTATCATGCAAGCCACATAATTTCACGGTTAGAAGACGTACCTGGCCTTCCTCGTTCAACCAATTCCAACAATAACATATAATATGGTTAAATCATAATTCAATTATAAACAAATAAACCACGTAATCAATCATACGAAACTACGAACGTGAATTTCAAATCTATATACATAATCTAGCGTTAGATGTGCAATGTCCTAACCTCGGTTATTTGACGAATTAAATAAAGAAATTTGATGAAGAAGAGATGCTCAGTTCTTGGCGTCCCTGTTCTGTTCTTCTAGCTACTCTGTTCCCGTCGTTCTCTTTTCTTTTTCCAGTGAGTACAGCAGCGGCGGTGAACTTCCTGGCGATGGCGGAGCAGTCCCCTGGCGTCGACCCTATTCCGCGATGGATCTCTGTTTCCTTCCCTGTTTTTCCTTCTCGGCGTAGGGTGCGTGCGTGTGTTTATATATGAAGGGAGGGAAGGGTTTTGGGTATTTCCTTTATTTAGGAGACGGGTAGTTGTAGGATTTAATATTTAATTATTTTATAGAAATCATCCAATATAGCACCATTAAGAAATAGAAAATACATATCTAGCACTCCCATCCTATTTACACCTTTATAGCACCTCAACCATGTTTCTCATGTTTAATATCCCCATTTTACCCTTTCAAGATTGGTTTCATCCGTCAACTGCGCAACTTGAGAGATTGAGCCATTTAGCGCACTCTCCCTCACCTGCGTAAATTCAGGGGGCAGTTAATCATCCGTTACAACCTTTCTCACTATTACGGTGCTGAACAATCAACAATGAACATCATTCCGCCACATCCGATTCCACAGATCCGCATGCATCGTCTTTGCCGGATTCAGCGCCACACACACTCTAGGGTTCATGTTCTACAATCCAAGTCCAAATTCAACCGGAGTATTCAAATTAATAGCTGCAGAGATTCGCCGGAAGCATTCATCGCCCACTGCCTCAACCGATACACTCACATTTTGTTTCAGGTTCAGTATATATGTCATATCTGCCCTATTTTTCCCATCGCTGCCCAATACTAAAATTCTGATTCCTTTTTTAAAAGTGCAATGCTTATTGTGTAGTCAACTAACGGGATAGTGAGAAGATTCTTCTTTATCTACCAATGCTTGTGGTTTTTTGAAAAATGATTTGTTTCTGTTCCAGACCAGTACCATATACATTGTCCAATTCCAACTGACCCAACCTAATTAAGTTTTGTTGGAGAGAAAAATTTGATTTTTGCACTATAATAGCACGGATTGATATTGCCCCGCAATGCCCCCTTCTAAATTACTGATTTTCAATTTTATTTAATTTTGCCTTCTTGTAATGATATCTTGATCTATAAGGTTAATGGGATAGAATTCCTAATGTTAGCTGCACTTTATTTTGGCACCTAAAAAATCATCACTTTCAAAGTAATATGTTCTCCTCTGCACTTGCATTATTCTTACGGCAGCCGAATGAATATGTCAAGAATTACATGCTCAAGGACTCATTCACGTTGTCCTTTTTCTAAAAACAATTGCTTAATCACTTCACACAGCAATTTTCCGAACCTATTTGACCAATTCATTTTCTCTGTTCCAGGTGCTGCAATCATGGATTCAAACATTAAGGTATTGGTGCGTGTCGATGGAGCATGAGATACTCGTGGAAACTTCACTTGCTCTCTAAACTCGCTCATTGGCAGTGTTAAAGCAGACATGCATATGGATTGGTCTAAAAATGACATTCGTTTCTCATACATTGTTGCGATGTGTCCACCGCCTATTGTTATTGCGGATGATGCTGAACTACTTTTCTATCTGACATTGAACTACCTTCCATAAACATTGGAAAAAATAACACATCCTTTTAAATATAGTAGGATGGGAACACAGTTATTAATAAGTGTCATTGTTTGAATGTTTAACAATCACAACTCTTTTGATACACACCTCCTTAAACCCCCCTTGTAAAAATTGTGGCAGTGTATTTCAGACATTGAATTTCTGGAAAAACATATTGTGGCAGTGTACAGAGTATATATTGCAGTGTATATTTACCAAACAAATAAAGGTCACGGCTTAAAATGAATCCTCCTCATTTTATGGCAGTGTTGTAAGTGTTAGGGCCATCACACTTCCCATATACATGCTTACAGGTCAGGATGGGGACACGGTTATTAATAGGTGTCATTGTTTGAATGTTTAACAACCACAACTCTTATGATACACAACTCCTTCAACCCCCCTTGTTATGCCGTTGCAATGTGATACAATAATGTCTATTAATCCATCCCGCCCTGTCAATATTATACCGTTAAGATGTTGCAAGTATTTCGCACTATAAGATATGCTCTTTAACGAACAGTAACACACCTACTGTCCCTGTAGTTGTATAAAAAGAAGTCTGTTTTACCACACTGCCAACAACATGACACGCCAAACCAGTATATAGCACATGAGACATCAACCATGTCACTACATCATTCTATCCAGACCATGCCAAACGATGGCAGTGTGAAAACACCACAACCATGCAGTCAGTGATATGGCGGTACTCAAACAAACAACTAAAAATCTACACATATATACACTGCACAATCCCCCAGACAAAAAAAAAAAACAACCATACACTGCAAATATCCCCATTCATATATAAGCATCACAATGCGTCCGAAATACATTGCCATTATACCGGGGAAAAAAAACCAAATTGAACCGTACTTATCCAACCCCAAAAACCCAACTCCATACTACCACTGCACAAATCTACCAAAAACAAAAACTTCCCAAATTCAAAACCTCAGCTGTAGAAGCGTTAAACCAACCAACCAAATTAACAATGCAAGATCATCAGACAATCTCACCCTCTTATGAATCTGAGTTGTATACAATCATTACTTACCCCAAATGCATACTAGCCGTGAACGAATTACACACTTGTACCCCCATCTCACACAGCCATACCACGCTCCAACACTCACACTGCACACCCACCTCTAAACATATAAACGACACCCGTGCGAAAAATACAATCAGCCTAACTCCAATATCACAAGTTCCATACATTCTCTTACAACCCCTCCCATATATATATTGCCCTTAAAAAATTAAACATGTATACTAGCCCGAACATACACGTCCCATACCCCCACCCCAAACTCAATGTGCGACCTATCACACACTACCCACCACAAATCAGGCAGTGCGTGATACCAGAGCTCTTGAACACAAACCCTGGCAGTGTAAAGCAAAACACGGCATTTCACCGGAGGGTGGCTCATATCAGCCGTTGTCCTTGAGCATACCAATCCCGGGCAAACTCAAAGTGCCAAGCACTATACACTCAAAAAATGCATACCAAACAAACCCAAATTGAAACATAAACCATCAATCAGAAAACGAGTCACCATTCACGCATCAAAACATTTCAAAACGTAAGTTACCATCCACACTCCACCACTAAACGGTGTTTGACCAGAATAAACAAAAACCAAATGTCAGTGTCTGCCCCAAAATAATATCGGGAAAGCAATAATCATAGACACCAAATCCACCTTCTTATAGAACATGTCGTGCACAATCACACCATATGCCTACTTCTATCCGGCCTTCTCTTTCTGCTCCTTACTATAAACCATGAGCTCCGTAGTCATTTTAACCCGATACCTCTCCATGTCGCGTGAATGCACCTCAGTGATGTCCCCGTCCATCATCAGGTACTCCGCAAACTTTAGCATAAACATTCCACAATTACACCTACATTTTTAAACACAATTGTTAACCATTCTAATCATATCCCTAGTCTGAATAAATTATAATCTACTGTCACTCCACTATTCAAACTGTAAATTTCCCACTTAACCGTCATCTTGCTGCGGACAACCATCAACTGCCTCGATACAGAACTTTCGTTTGCCCATCGGTCCATCGGAGTGCTCGTCGTACACATGCAACATATCAAGGAGGACTGGAAGCAATTCTGTAATACATTGCATAAACGTATTTAATGCCCTGCACCCCTTTCCTTTCCTTCCTTTTGAATCATACACCCGTATAGTCCTTCCTTCCACTTCCAGGACAAGTAAGACCCAGTGGTCACCGGTATTAAGGGGCATATACACAAAATCACACACAGACCATGGCCTGGCATATTCGCGCGCCAATCCATTGACCTCGCTAGTTAGGTTCAGATTATTGATGACTTCCTCCTTCTTCGCCCGACCAACATTAACCAGTTCTTGGTGGTTTTGCAACCCATGTAAGAAGTAAGGACTCGTTGTCGTGTACATCTGCAGGTGATTGTACTGTCTGCCTTTCACCTCCAGGAAATACATTGCTATCTCAACATGCTGTACAACAAACCATTAGGCACTAAAGTCATTATTCACAAAAGAGAAAAAAACAAATCAAAACCAAAATTCTTATCTCCCACTTCCATTAAACATATACAAACCACACTGCCATTACCTCACACATAGTCAATCCCGCAAAGCCCATCCTCCCCCGTCCTATTTGGAATCTTCCTACATCCCCTATGACACCCCACCAGCACTATCTATACCATTAAGGCCATCACACTTCCTCATGTACATGCTTACAAATCTGTTTTTAAAAAAACAACTCCCCACTCCCACACTGACAGTATACTGGCAAAGCACAAACAAAAGTCAAATGATAGCCAAAAACCACATCGACATGCCATTTCCCAAACCCACTCACATGTCCCCACTTCCTAAGGCATGCACAAAAGAGAAAAAAACAAAAAAAGAACCAAAATTCTTATCTCCCACTTCCATTAAACATATACAAACCACACTGCCATTACCTCACACATAGTCAATCCCGCAATGCCCATCCTCCCCCGTCCTATTAGAAATCTTCCTACATCCCCTATGACACCCCACCAGCACTATCTATCCAATTAAGGCCATCACACTTCCCCATATACATGCTTACAAATCTGTTTTTAAACAACAACTCCCCACTCCCACACTGACAGTATAATGTCAAAGCACAAACAAAAGTCAAATGATAGCCAAAAACCACATCAACATGCCAATTCCCAAACCCACTCACATGTCCCCACTTCCTAAGGCATTGCAACTCTTCAAAGATTCCGATGCATTATAAAAATAAACAACCATTAAAAACCTCAATGAAAATCATACCGTGCTACGCAACTACTCGGTGTTGGTAAACAGCTCATATATCCATGTCTTGTTCTCCACAGTAAAGCCATCCAGGCATAATGGCAGTACGCATTGTTAACCCAAAAAACTAACATCCAACCTCACATTAAAAAAAGGGAGAAGCACTCACATTAAAACCCGAATATCAAATAGTCAAATATCCATGTCCACCGTCATGAAAATAAGATAATGGAAATGCATACTGCCAGGATGAAATTACACCAATACACACTTGCAATGCCATATTGAAACTATAAAACAAAACAATGCTTTTGCCTAAACTACAGACAGACGAATCACACACACTTCCACAACAAAATCCCATCACCCCAACTATCAACATGCAAAGTGCACTACAAGAAGTGTGAGAAATCCAAGACAAATCCATACCATAAAATGCCCAACCAAAAAAACACCACAACTAAAACGACATTAAAACCAACATATAATTCAGGCCATATTACTACACATGTTATGAAAAGAACTGTAACCATGGTGCGGGGGTAAACCAAATGACACCGCATACACGCAACCAAACGTAAAAAAAAACTTCACAAGAGGAAATTCAAGCCAAGTGCTACCACAATTTCGAAGACGAAACATGTCAATAAAGTCATAACAATTTGCAAATCAAATACAATTTACCAGAACAGATCTATTTTAATAACAAATGCTAAATACCCAACCCAAAAAAAATAAAAAAAAATAGCTACTTCATCATCTACTACATTCTGAAACTTTGGGCATTACACAACACATACCATACTTCCAGCTCAAAATAACCCAAAATACAAAATATAAAAACATTGCAAATACTGACAAAACATCTGCATAATGTAAAAAAGGTTTACACACTGTCCACAACACACACACTTCCACATGTCTAACAATACAATTGCACATACACTCCTAATTACACGACCAGAGCTCTTTACTACCAAGCACTAAACCCCAAAACCCTAAAACCTTAAAAAATAGCAACAAACCTGTTCATCTACCAGAATCTAAAATTTGAGGCAATATATCACACATATCATACTTGCCCACAAAAAACCACTCAAATTACCAAAAAACAAAAGAAATGTCGAAATCACCCAACAAAGAATCTTAACAAAGCCATGCATGATGCCCAAATTCGAACTTTTAACATATCACCCTGATTTATTCAACGAGAAAACCGTACCTGAACCTTCTCCATCCGTTTACTAAGAGGAATTTCATCAAGAGCGTCATCCTCTGTCAATTGTTGTTCTTGACCGCACAACACTTCCGCAGTTGCCATTGCGATCCTTGCACTGCGTCTCCTCTGAGGAATAGGACTCTCTGGTGTTGCAAACTCCGTAGGATTCATATTCACAGAATTTTAAATCTGGGAAGTGCGAAACAAACGGCTGATTTCCCGAGCTCAAAATCCGGGCGCGACTATTATTTCAAATCCGACGTGTGACCACCACTCTTAGGAAACGGAATAAGCACTGCCACCTTAAAATGAAATCGTATCCTTATTTAAACTACAGGGACAAAACTGGAATTGCACATCACACTAAATGTCGCAAATTACTTCTCTCAATAGGAGTGCTAAATAAGTACTAAAACATGAACAGTAGTGCTATTTGAGTGCTTCTCCCATTATTTTATTATTAAAATCTTTATATTTATTTATTGAACTGTGATGTCTATTTTACTTGCCACGCTTTACCCGTATGCCAAAATTTAGCAAACTATATACCGTTGGTCATCATTTTACGAGACCTATCCGAAAACCCAATTTTCATTTAAAACGGATAACTTTACAAATAATTCATATTTTAGAGTAAATAAATATTATATTTATTTTTACTAAAATAACGGCTAACTACTAAGCCGGTTTTTGGGTCGTTACATTTCTCTCCCCCTTAAAAGAATTTCGTCCCCGAAATTCCTTAGTCTAGCGTCTACTTAAACACGTGCACATATAGTTCACGTGCACATATAGTTCACACAGATAAGCACATAGGGTACACATATAATTTAGAGTAAATTCCCAAAATAGTCCTCTGTAATAAGGTATTTTCCCAAATTAGCCCTCAATAAGTTTTAATTACCAACGTGGTCCTCTATAATTGAGATTTATTCCCAAAATAGTCCTTTGGAATAAAGTGTTTTCCCAAATCAGTCCTCAATAAGTTTTAATTACCTATGTGGTCCTCTATAATTGAGATTTATTCCCAAGATGGTCCTTCGTAAATAATGTTACTCAAATGAGAGTATTTTTTCTTTGCTAAATTTAGAATCAATTCTTAAAATAATCATTTATAATGAAGTGCTTTCCCAAAATGGTTTTTCTAATTAAAGATGTGTATTTGATTTGAAATTTAAAAGATTTTTTTTAAGTTTTATAAATGTATTTGGTTTATCTCTATGTAATAAGGTGTTATCACAAATCAGTCCTCAAATGAGGATTAATTGGGAGATATTTTGGTATTTTGATAATCCAGATTTAAAGTATATTCTTGAAACAATCATTTTTGTACAATTAAACATAAAATTTAAAAAATACATTGACTATAAATAATTTATGAATTATTTAAAACTTAAAAAAATCTTTTAAATTTCAAATCAAATACACATCTTTAATTAGAAAACCATTTTGGGAAAGCACTTCATTATAAATAATTATTTTAAGAATTAATTCTAAATTTAGCGGATAAAAAATACCCTCAATTAATCCTCATTTGAGTAATATTATTTACGAAGAACCATTTTGGGAATATATCTCAATTACAAAGTACCACATAGATAATTAAAACTTATTGATGACTGATTTGGGAAAATTCCTTATTACAAAGGACTATTTCGGGAATAAATCTCAATTATAGAGGACCACGTAGGTAATTAAAACTTATTGAGGACTAATTTGGAAAAACTCCTTATTACAGAGGACTATTTTGGGAATTTACTCTATAATTTAACTAATCGTTATCAAGGTAAGTTTCAAGGTGTACCATCATGAGCGTCGTTATTCTGGGGGTTTGCATAATCTATCATCGCATAGGTGCGTGCTGGAGCTCTTCCTGGCTGTTGATTCTGGTTCCTTTGTTGATTTGTCCACGCAGTGGTACGTTGACTTTGCGTCGGTTGCGGTGCGGTTGCTTGATTGCGAGTCGGTGCTTGCACTGGGGCAGTGCTTGGGTTAGTGGGACAGTTCCTTCGGAAGTGAGCTGCCTGCCCACATGCCCACATCCCAAGCATAATCCTTGATCGTACCAACACTCACCGGGATGTGTCCTTCCACAGGTAGCACACGGCGGAAACCTAGACGTCTTTGACTTTCCAATCGATGCCACCAATTGGGCGGGCGCTCTTTGGGTTACCACTGTCTTACCTTTCTTTGCTTGAGAGGCATTACTAACTTCACCTGCGGGCCTTTTTGCACTCGGCGTAACACTCACAGTTGGGCGTGTACTGGGTCCTCCTTCCTCGGCCTTCAGGTTGGCCTTGTAATCATCCACATCTTTTTCTGCTTTTGCCATTAGATCGTAAGCCTTAGAGAAGTCTGTAGTGGTCAGAATGGATACATATGGTCGAATGTCGGGACACAGCCTCTTACGAAATTCTTCAATACGGTCGGCCGGCGTGGCTACCAGCGTAGTCGCGAATTGGGCTAGGTGGTCAAACTTCTGTCGAAGCTCGGGAAGAGTCATGTCTCCTTGCTTTAGTTCCATAAACTCTGTACGTTTCTCTTCTCTGAAGCGGGCTGGTATATACTCCTTCTTGAATGCCCAATCAAAATGCTCCCATGTCCAAGGCTTATGCCCTTTCTCGCCTGCGCGCTTCCACCACTCATATGCTCCCTTACGTAGGAGCTGGAAAGCAAGCTCAAGACGTCTCGTGTCTGGAACACTCAGATTCTTCAACACTCTTTCTGTCTGTTCAATCCAGTCTAGGGCAATCTGAGGATCAGATATCCTATCCCCATGGAACTCTTCAGCACCATTGTCCTTCAGCGTTTTCAATGTGATTTGCCTAGGAGGCGGTGGAGGCGGTGGCTGGAACATTGGCGCGTTCGCCATTTGCTGCGGAAATTGCGTCAGGAACGCAGGCATAATCGGGTCCTGTTGAGCCTCCACGTTTTGTTCCATGTTCTGGGTCTCGTTTTGGTTATTTGACGCTTCGCTCATTCTATACCGGTTAAACTTTCCTAATTAATTACTAATACATATAGTAAACAAGTACTCAAATTTTATTACCTTCCTGAGGCAGAGGAGTTGCGAGAGATGCGGATGCTGCTGCTAAAGTACCTTGTAACCGACTCAACACTTTTATTTTTTTGAAACATTTTTTTTGAAAGGGTCCGAAGACCGATTTTAAAACCACTTGCTCCGATACCAAAATGTAACACCCCGACTCGCGCGACCCGAATACAAGGACTAGCGGATCAGGTTGTCACTAAATTGGTATTCAGACACAATAATTTCCAAAACAATTCAAAAACATTTAAACCAAAACAATATTTAAAACATCCATCGGAGTTAACAAAACGGTGCGGAAGCTTAAAGTACTTAATCAAAATACAACTTTGGGTTCTTGCCCTTAAAACATTAATTAATTCAAACTTAAATATTAAATAATAAACTCCTCCAGCTAGCATCCATCCATCTTCTCTGCCCTCGCTACCCTCGAGGATAGTTCCTTATTCATCATTCACGTTACCTACGTGTAGCAAATAGGAAAAAAGGCTACACGCTCAGCATTGAAGCTAAGTGAGAACTATCTAACGTTTCGACTACACACATAGACGAACCCACTAGCTCATAATCTCATACAATATCATGCACACAAGTACAACATCAATAACATCATTAATATCATATAATTCATCAATCAAACATAATTACCATAATCAACAAACTTATCTCATAATCCACTTCTTTATCTCTAGGCTCATAACCTATCCTAGGCTAAGGCCAACTACTTTATTCTAGAGTCCTGATCCAACCACATCCATGGAAGAACCCGCTCGATACGACGTCATCCAACGTCGGCTGGGTGGGACCACCTACTCACATCCATGAGCAGATCTACGACCCCCGTGCGCACGCTTTACCCAAACTGATCATGCGTGCACGCCTACTCATCACATGACCAGTCATTCTTAACTGTATTCCTTATTCTGTTTCCTCGGTCTACCTATAGTTCAGCTAGGTAGCCTATCCGTATTCAAATTCATAATTCCATATTTCCAAATTCATACGAGATTACAACAAGTTAATTAGGCAACCACATTCATCAATTAGCAGCCTAGTCTCGGGTGTATACACCCCCCACTTACCATCATGCAACATACAAGATCATGGCATAAATTCGAGATTCAAATCAGAACAAACAAACAGCGAATCGGGCGGCTGGGGGTGGACACGGTACCCTGGTACCGCCGAGCGGTACCTAGATACTGACGGTCCGGTACCCCCGACCGTCTAACTACAGTTCCCGACAGAGGAGAACAGGGTTGGGGCAGTATCTGGGTCTGACACGGTACCTTGGTACCGTCGGTCCGGCACCTTGGTACCGTCTGGCCGGTACCCCCCTACCGTGCGAGCGCAGGTACCGACAGAGCCATATTACGGAGGGGTCTATGGTGGTAGCAGGGTACCGTGAGGCGGTACCTAGCTACCGTCTGACGTCGGAAAGCTACAGAAACAGCGTAATTCAATTCTATTCAACACCATTCCATTCAGATAACGTTTCTAAAGGTTTTTATCATGCAGGCCACATAATTTCACGGTTAGAAGACGTACCTGGCCTTCCTCGTTCAACCAATTCCAACAGTAACATATAGTAATATGGTTAAATCATAATTCAATTATAAACAAATAAACCACGTAATCAATCATACGAAACTACGAACGTGAATTTCAAATCTATATAAATAATCTAGCGTTAGATGTGCAATGTCCTGACCTCGGTTATTTGACGAATTAAATAAAGAAATTTGATGAAGAAGAGATGCTCAGTTCTTGGCGTCCCTGTTCTGTTCTTCTAGCTACTCTGTTCCCGTCGTTCTCTTTTCTTTTTCCAGTGAGTACAGCAGCGGCGGTGAACTTCCCGGCGATGGTGGAGCAGTCCCCTGGCGTCGACTCTATTCCGCGATGGATCTCTGTTTCCTTCCCCGTTTTTCCTTCTCGGCGTAGGGTGCGTGCGTGTATTATATATGAAGGGAGGGAAGGGTTTTGGGTATTTCCTTTATTTAGGAGACGGGTAGTTGTAGGATTTAATATTTAATTATTTTATTATTAAAATCTTTGTATTTATTTATTGAACTGTAATGTCTATTTTACTCGTCACGCTTTACCCGTATGCCAAAATTTAGCAAACTATATACCGTTGGTCATCATTTTACGAGACCTCTCCGAAAACCCAATTTTCATTTAAAACGGATAACTTTACAAATAATTCATATTTTAGAGTAAATAAATATTATATTTATTTTTACTAAAATAACGGCTAATTACTAAGCCGGTTTTTGGGTCGTTACAAAAAGTATGTCATTATTAGTATCAGCCAAAGAGAGATTTGAAGAGATTCCATGTTTAAAAAGATGGTGTTTGCTCGTGTCAGGATTACAATGCCAAAGTCCTAAAGTAGCCAGTATAATAAATTGTCCTAGTGTACAATGTCAAAGTCCAAAACTGCTATGCTAACCTATCCAGCTTCTTTGACATTGAATGGTTTGGGTGTGTCATTTCTTAATAAAAGTTATTTGTTGGAAGAAGTGATTCTGTCATTGATAAAAGTTATTCTCATGTGTTTAAAGATTACTTGTTTACTCTCCTTTCAAAAAATACTCATCAAATACTCTGCCACAAATTTATCCAAAAAAAGTAATGTCATTACCGCAATCACAAACCATATTGCAATTACAAACTTCTATCTAAGAAGCACTATCATTTACTTTCACAATGCCTAGCACATCATCTCCCATCTCATGCATTTTTTGCCCCTTGTACACTTCTGTGGTCCTTGTCTGCTACGTGATTGAGAGGATTTTGGGGATTTTAATATATTTTGCTACTCCGTAACTGATAAACTCACTAAAACGATACGCGCTTTTTCACCCAAACTATTCGGAATTGAAAACAGATCGCATATTTGGAATCACACTGTAAAAACTAAAATTTTGATATAATTAAAATATTTTTCTGAAAACTTTTATTTTTTCAGTGTTCGGGTCTGTCTTTGTCATTAATTAATATTTAAATTAATTAATTATTTTAGGCCTAATTTCGGGGTGTTACAGGATCGATCATCCTGACATTTTTTTAGGAGTTACTGTTTCATCATCTTCTTCCTCGGGTCCAATTTCGAAAATATCATTTTTAGTTACCAAACTTCAATTAAATTATGTAGAAATATTCTCTAAGGTTCATAGATCATTTTGGTATCATTAGTTCATAGTTTTAAAAACAATTTCATGGTTTATAATTCTTGGTTCTTCAAGCATGTCAAACACAAAACTCAACGAATGACTGTTTATAAACGTAGAAACAATTTATACGAACATTCTAGTCACTAGATATATCTACGGGCTTACCTCGAAACTTGACGGAGGTTATGAGAATTTTCCGGGGAAACTTCCGGCGAGGATTTTATTCAGAGCTTCAGTGACTTCACACCAAATTGACAGCACCTCTACAAGGAACACTCAAGAAGAAGAATGAAGGAGAATGGTGAAGAAATGAGGTAGGAGAGGTTAGTTTATATAGGAAGAAGGGTTGGGAAGAAGACATGAATAATGACCTCCCTCTGCTACTGTTTTGGCGTCTCAGTGGAGGGAGCAGCGGTTTCTACGGGCTTTAAACGCAAGTCGATCCCTGATTAGGATTAATTTCGTCCGAGTCAGGGTACACTTTTTGCTCCAACTTTCTCCAAATTGAAATCTATTGAATCGTTGCGATCAGACATTCAAACTCTACATAACGATATAATTTTCATGATTAATTCTGATTGGCCTATTTTCGGGGCGTTACAGATGTCTGATGGCTTAGGTTAAAACGTACGTACGTGATCCATAAATCAAACTTGAGTATCTATTTGATTCAGGGTACCACCCAACGAGACAGTGAGTAGTTTGCTCTTTGGTTTTCTGCCTTAAATTATTTATAGTTTAAGATTATGGGCATCTTTTTTCCTTAAACTAATTGTAGTTTAAAAGTTTGGTTATTACTTTCCTTAAACTAATTATAGTTTATGAGTCTAGTTAATCAAACAAAGTAGCTTTAAACTAACCATAGTTTAAGAATCTAGTTAATAAAATGAAATAGCCTTAAACTAGCCATAGTTTAAGAGTCCGGCTAAGAAAATATGAATTTAAATTGGCTTTAGACTAAGAATAGTTTAAGAATATTGTTATGATTTGGCTTAGACTAAGAATAGTTTAAGAGCGCTGTTGACATTATGAATTGTGAATAACTAAAATGAATATTATGTGCATGAAATCAAATTATTTGATTATGAATTAAGATTCATTTTATGTGGATGTTCGATGTCTTAGATAATCTGACTCAGCTTCAACGCCGAGTGTGTAATATATTTTATTTGCTACATGCAGGTAAACAAAATAAAGAATAATGTGATTGATTCTGGAGGCACACATGGTCAAGATTGTCACGACAGATGTGATAGTTTTGAATTGTTATTTCAAAAGACATGAATTAATTATATTTTTTATTGTGATTTGTAAAATTTCTACAACATTGAAAACTCCGTACTCTTTCTATTATAAATATAATTTTTGGTGAATAATAGTGTTTGAAATGTTTTAAAGTTTACAATTACCAAGTTAATACTTTAGTCCGAAGGGAGTTGTAGAAATGGACGGATTAAGGTGTTACATTTTATTAATATAAATTGACCTAGGAAAAATATAAATATTTTAAATTAAAAAATAATAATTATACTACTCTCTTTGTCCCTAATTAAATGACATGTATATTATTAACGTGGCCAAATTTATTTCAATTTTTTACCTATTAGGAATATGATGATAGTAATGATAATTAATAAGAATCATAATAATAATAAGTATTAAGTGATAATAATGATAATAATAATAATAACAACAACAATAACAATAACAACCATAACAATTATAAGGGTAGGGTTCGCATGACATTGCCCCCTAATGTCATGGGATGATCTGGGGGTGCTCCGGTGTCCCGTTCGTAAAATTAACGGTTTCTACCTCCCCTAACCCCCCGGTAAACTCCCCCACCCCGCCCTGAACACATCCCCCCCACCTCCTTCAATTACACCCCACAAATTGAATTTGATTTTGGAGTCAAATTTTGACTCCAATGTCAAAATCAACTTGTGGGGTGCAATTGAAGAGGGTGGGGGGTGTTCGGGTCAGGGCGTGGTGTGGTGGTTTACTGGAGGGTTTAGGGGGGTAGGAACTGTCAATTTTACGAACGGGACACCGGAGTGCCCCAGGTCATCCCATGACATTGCCGGGCAATGTCTTAACAAAAATGGCGCCATTTCTGGGAAGGGTCTTTTGGATCGGTTATTTGGTAATAACCGATTCAAAAAGCCTCTTCCCAGAATTGCCATCACTTCTGAGGAGGGCTTTTGCATCGGTTTTAACAACCGATGCAAAAAGTGACCTGAGTATTTGCATCGCTGGCTTTTGCATCGGTTCAAAACCGATTTAAAAGGGTCCAAATAACCGATTTAAAAGGTCATTTTTGTAGTAGTGTAATAAGAATACTATGTAGAATGTACTTGAATAAAGTTTTGATGTTTTTTTATTTTTTTCAATTTTTTCTAGTTTATTCAATTTTTTTTAAATTTCTTCCAACAGACAGTTTTTTTAAGCCTAAAAAACAGGCTCTTAATGCACCGTAGCTTTTAAATATGAGTATTTTTTAATATTACCATAATTTTTTAACAAATTATACACCGTCTTAAATATAACTTTAACCAAACATCAAAAACGGAAACAAGTGATTTATATTTGGAAGAAGAGAACAATAATTAGCTACTCTTTTCCTCCATTAATTTCTTTGTTGCTTTACTTTTTGGGTCGTCCATAAATATCTTTTTCATTTCCTATTTTGGCATATTTTTATTAATAAATGTGTCATTGTATCACACTTTTCCTCTACACTACATTAAGAGTAGCACATGAAAAATCTTTATATTTTTTAACTTTTTTAAATTCCGCGTAAAATCAAAGCGATAATTTTTTTGGATGGGGGACTAAATCATTAAATAATACGGAGTACTCCGTAGAACATACGTGCTGGTTTGAGAGAGTGCCAATTAAAAGGCTTCTCCCAATACTCGAGGTCCACGGTTGAAAAGTTGGACTAAATTAGTTAAAGTAGATAGGAAAAATACGCACATTGACAAATCTTCACCTAGAAATTAAAACAATTTTCAACTATTTTTTATTGATCTAGCATAAATTTCTACATTCTTTTGCCTATAAATTAACAAGCCTGGAGGAAATGCTTCATACTCCGACCTCATTTAGCATTAAGAATAGAGCTTTGCCAAAAAAAGAAAAGAAAGAAAAAAGAAGAGAGCGTAATTGGCGATGGCTTTACTTCGCGTTTTTGTCTCTCTTGGCCTTTTGTTTCTCATATGTCATGCTATGGTTGCGGCCAGAGATCTCGCGGAATCTACTCACATTAATACACGTGAGTGTGTACACGTGAGTGTATATGTATATAGTGTGTATTAGAGCATACAATACCTTTTCGTCTATGACAATTAGCCTAATTTCATGGTTTGACATTATATTATATCAGAGTTATATTTGGCAAAAACAAATGCCATGTATAGCTAGCTTTGTGCTTTAGTACATAAATATTTAGTTCTTTAAAGAAATAGTTTAGGTTTTCCAAACTAACACCCATTTTAATTGATGATCTCTAATCCAGACTGAGGCACCGAGAAAACATTTGACCGATCCCACACGTCTTTACCCAAGAATCTAGTGTAGGGTCCCACATCGAACAACTTGCTAGATGTTCGAATAAAGCCTTCCCAACTCTATTTAATACTCCCTCCGTCCCTAAATAAACTTCTCCTTTCGCTTTTTCTTTGTCCCCAAATAAGCTTCTCTTTTTCCTTAAAAAACTCCCTTTACCCCTTACTTTTTCATACCCTACCTATCACATCATACCTTTTTACTAATAATCTACCTATCACATCTTACTTTTACACATCACATCAAGGATATTTTTGGAAAGTCAACACCAAAATATCTCTCCCTTAAATCCTCAAAAAGTCAAAAATGGAAGTTTATTTAGGAACGGAGGGAGTAGATAAGGATGTACTCGCTCCGTTCACTATAACTCTTCATCTTTTAAATTTTTTTGCTTTCACCAAAACATTTTTATTAAAATGATTAATATATCCAAATAAAGTCATTGTCATATACTCCATTTATTTTGCATTGATATAATAAGTTATTTAAGTGATTTGTCTCTCTTTTCTTTCTTACGCAAATGATTTAATTGGAAATCAAATTACAAAACTAAATCCTGTAAAAATCAAAATAGGAACTGTTTTAATGAACGGCGAGAGTACTTCGTATGGTGTTTCCATCTTTAAGTAGTTTCATTCACGTAGATTCATTAATTCATATACTCCCTCCGTTTCAAAAATACTTTTTCTCTCATTTTTTCACTTCCAACAAAGCACTTCCACTTTCTATTAAAAAACCACTTTTAACCTTACTTTTTCATACCCTACCTATCACATCATACTTTATCTCTAATAATCTATCCATCACATCTTACTATTACCTATCACATCAAGGGCAAAATTGGAAGTCAACTACAATTTAATACTAGTACTTCCTTATTTTTACACAAAGTCAAAAGAGGAACACTTTTTTCAAATGGGAGGAGTACTATATTTTACTGACATTATTGAGTCATTAGGCTTTCGTGGAATTACACTGGTTGTTGTTGCTCTATTGGGTCATTAGTATAGTCATACACCCTAAAGCGCTATAACTACTTTTTATATACTCCCTCGATTTCACAATAACTATCTACGAAGTATTAAAGATTATTAGATACATTACATTTTACATGAAGAATAAATTTTTAAATAGTCCTTTATAACTGAGAGTTTTCTATATTTAGTTCATAACTGAAGGAGGACCAAACGTGGAATAATATCTAATTAATAAGGACTGTCAACTTACTATTTTATAAGTATGTAATAAATATGGAAAACCCCTAATTATAAAAGATTATTTAGAGAATTTACTTTTAAATGAATGTAGACTTAAATACGTTTACATCAATTAAAATATAACAAACTTTAATAGACAATTATTGTAGAATAGAGAGTATATTTGAAGAGTACATAGAGCATTGTACATGGTTATTTGTAAACAACCATGCTAGGGGTATACCAAAAGTGTACCCAAAAAAATGCACTGACATTTTAATGGTTCACACGGCCAGAAAATGGTAGTTCAATTAAAAAAATTGCACTGACATTTTTTGTCAATATAAATTATCACACTAACATTACACTAGTACAAAATGTCGGTGCATGTCTTTAAAATATAAAATGAGGTACAAATTTTGGTATACAAATAATTTAATCCTACCCTTCTTATCACAACAATATAAATGCATTGAATTGAATTACTGTAGGTATTTAAGAGTGACATATATGTATTCCCTTCATCCAAAGTATTTGTCCACTTTTATTTTTACACACCATCCAATGCACTTCTTTAATCCATTTTATCTTGTAAGTTGTTATTTAAAAATTATAGAAATTATATATTAATAATCTATATATTAAGACAAATCAAACAAGATCACAGATGACTATATTTAGGCTTACACATTGAGAGAATTTGATGAGTTAAAGTGCTTAGATGAACAGTTCCAAAAGTCAAAAGTGAACAAAAACTGGGGACGGGGGAGTATTAGTTTTTGCTTGTGAAACGGTTATATTTAAATATATACGGAGTATATATATATGTACTAAAAATGGACATCCTTCAATTCAGATGAAGTTGAGGAGGGTACAATCACAGCTGTTGAAGCTGGGCGCCCAATATGTCGTCGTCATGGGTGCCCTCCGGCAAGTCAGCCGCCGCCGCCACCACGGACAATTGGAAAATGTTCAAACAATGATGACAATCAAAAGATGAATGCTGCTAACTCTATACACCTTGATGATGGCCGTGATGGATATAATGGTTGTAATTAGTGCAATCAAATAGTAATGCAATGCACACACACATATGTATGATCAAATAGTAGTGTACGAATAAATAAATAAATACTCCGGATAATAAATAATAATAATAATAATAATAATAAATATTCTCTTCGTGTCTTAAACAATGTAATGTTGTACGTTTTAGTTGTTCTAAGAAAAAAAGATACACTCTCTATTATTATGATGTGGTTATAATAATAAATCTATCTCTTATAACAAGAGTTGACGTGAACGGTTACGCACGTAAGCACTTTTTGTCTGTTTGAAAAACAATCCCTCTTGCTTAACATGCGGCTAAATTGCAATTTTTTATTTTTTAGAGACATTTTCTCTCATCAACTATGTATTATATTTATTGAATTAAGCATGTACACTACAAGAAAATATCAATATTGCAATGGATACATTGCAACAACCTTTTTTCTGTTGTAGAATTGCGACGGCTTTTTTAATTGCAACGGAATTATTGCGCAACGGAGTTGTTTGCAACGGAAGTTTTGTGCAACGGTTTTTTTGCAACAGAATTTGATTGTATCCGTTGCAATTTTGGCGGGAGGTTGGCGCCTTTTTACGGGAAAGATCTGCAACAGAGATCTACAACAGTATTTCTGTTGCAGAATGTTTGCTACAGCTTATTTAAGGTTTGCAACGGACAAAGCAGTTGCAATAAATATGTTACGTTACTACGATAATTTAAAGCTTTTTTGTACTTTATATTTTTCATACTATTATGTTTTTTATATGTAAATATTAATAATTAAAATAATTAACCCCAAGAGGTATTAAATTGACATGCGGAAATTTAATTACAAAAAAAGTATATTATAATTAAAAAACATATATATATATATATATATTATATATATATACAATGGAGTATTGAAACTAGAAAATATAAATTTGATTTATATGCATAGAATTTATATTGATATAGATCATAAAAGGTAGGAATATAATGTTAGTTGATGATTTTAGTGTAATCATTCGACTA